TCTTTAAAACTCTTTATATTAAGTCAGTTTATTCTTCATTTTTGCCTTTGTACACATATTTATCCATATTTTAATATAATACTCTCTCAAAGATACTTTCATCCAAAGTAATAAGCTCTAAATCTGTGAAATCTTTACTGACTTTACATTCTTGTTTTTGAACTATCAACACAAAAATTTTCAAGATACTTTTCGATGTATGTATTCCAGTCTCCCTTTTAATTATTTTTTTAGAGTGTTGAATGTCTGTAGTCTTTAATTTAAAATCTTTATACCCCAAAGAAATTTATATTTTCTTTTATTTCTAATCTTCTGGCTTTCTAATTCCATTTTTTATTGTATCTTCAAATTTTAAAAAAATAATTTCTCTATATATTTTAAAGTCTTTATATTTTCTTTCAAATTCCAAGTTCTAAATCTTTAAATTCCAAGTATTAAGAACACCCTTCGAATCCTTTCAATAAAAATACTTCAGTCTTCCTGTTTTGAATCTTTTAATTCTCAGAGATAACAAAAAACTTGTAGGCGTTTCGGTGGCATCGAGCATCTTCACCATCACCGCCATGTCCATCGACCGCTACCTCGCCATCACCAAACCCTTCGGCTTCTTCAATCGCTGCTTCAACAAACGCAACACCGTCATCGTCATCCTCCTCCTGTGGCTCCTCTCCTTCGTCCTCTTCCTCCCCGTCCTCCTCGTCACCGGCACGTGGAAAATGGACGACATCTTCATCTTCAACAAGAGTCTCGACATCCCAGCCTACTTCTGCCGCGAGGACTGGACCACTTATTTCGGCTCCTCGGGCTCGGAAATGCGTCAAGCCCTAGGCATCACCTGGTTCATCTTCATGTTCGTGGTGCCAGGTACACGCACGAAGCGCATATCAATATTTTTTCTACAAGTGCTTTGCAGGGGTGATAATGCTGTTCGCCTACTCGATGATGAGCAGGACGTTGTGCTCGGGGGTGCCGCCCTTTGACACCAACGATGGCTTGTCCTGCATTCAACAGGTGAGCCAATCGAATAAAAAAAATTCAAACATTTTTCGATTGTAATTGAGTTATGCAATGCGACGCCTTCGGAATAAATCAATTGAGAGATTCTTTGAAAGAATTTTTCAATTAGGAAAGAATGGATGGGAAGGCGAAGTTTAAGTTTTTATTATCAGAAGTTGGGATGGGAATTCTGAAAGTTTCAGTCTGAAATAATTCACAATTTTTATTTATTTTTTCTAATATTTATTTTCACAAAATTTTGATAATAGATGTTCAAGGTCAAAAATGAAAAAACTATAAACGTAAATGTGGACCGTAAAAAAGTAAGTTTGGTGTATATTCAGTGTCTATTACCAGAAATTGTGTCTTGTTGCCAACCTAAAAAAGTTTCCAAAAACAATTTCTTAATAGCCTTCATTAAAACACTGTTTTTGGGGTTTTAATAGTCATTAAAGACGCAAAGTAACATACAAATTATAACAAAAATCCAAAAAAAAACACAAGAACGTAAGGATGCAAGCTAGTCAACATAAACATAAACAATGGTTAACGTAAGAACGTAACCACTAGAAAATAGACGTAACGAAGCACAATAATAAACCTGGAAAAACAATAACCTAAAAACTGTTACTTTTTTATAAAAATTAGAAACTAGAAACAGAAATGTGAAACGTAAGATTAACAGTTTAAAAACGTAAACATGAAAATAAGCTCAATAAGCCCCACTTGGTAAAAACGCAAACTTAGAAACTTACATATGTATTTTGGCAATTATGAACATAAAAACGTAAACGCTTGTATTTCTGGGTAAAATACAAGCGTAAGGACGTAAACGTTATAACGTAAGAAACTAAAGATGCGAGAATTTGAATAATAAAAACTGAACATAAAAGCGTTAGAAACGTGAAAGTAAGAACATAAAGAAACAAGTAGATCTAAACGTAAGAACATAAACGCAAACTTAGGAATATGGGGCTTAAGAACGTAAGAATAGAAGAATGTGATTGAAAAATGTATATATTGGAAAACAACGTAAGTACGCAAACTTAAAAACATGGAAAATGTCTAAATTTATGTCATCGCAATTATGAACATAAAAACGTAAAAACACAAATGTACAAACACAAAAGAACAAATCAAAAAACTCGAAGTTATGAAAATTTAATAATAGAAACGTAAACGTCTAAAAGATACAAAAACGTAAGAAAATAAAAATGCGAGAATTTGAATAATGTAAAAACTGAACATAAAAGCGTAAAAAAGTAAAAGTAAAGACATAAAGAAATAAGCAAATTCAAACGTAAACGCAAACGTTAAAACGAAAACTTAAGAATGTGGGAACTTACGGACGTGATTAAAAAACAACGTAAAGACGCAAACTTTAAAATATGGAAAATGTCTAAATTTAACGTTACCGCAATTATGAACATAAAAACGCAAACATAGAAACACAAACGTAAGAACGCAGAAGAACAAATCAAAGAACTCAAAGTTTTGAAAATTTAATAATGGAAACGTAAACGTAAAAGTGTCTAAAAGATGTCAAAACGTAAGAAAATAAAAATGCGAGAATTTAAATAATATAAAAACTAAATAAAACAGCGTAAAAAAGTAAAAGTAAAGATATAAAAAATAAGCAAATCCAAACGTAAACACAAACGTTAAAACGCAAACTTAAGAATGTGGGGACTTAAGGACGTAAGAAGGTGATTTAAAAATGTAAATATTAGAAAACAACGTAAAGACGCAAACTTAAAAACATGGTAAATGTCTAAATTTAACGTTACCGCAATTATGAACGTAAAAACGTAAGAACGCAGAAGAACAAATCAAGGAATACAAAGTTTTGAAAATTCAATAATAGAAACGTAAAAGTTAAAACGTCTAAAAGACGCAAAAACGTAAGAAAATAAGTAGGTATGTTAGAATTTAAACAATGTAAAAACTTAACGTAAGAATTTAAAACCGTAAAAAAGGTAAAAGTAAAGACAAAGAAAGAATCAGATAAAAACGTAAGAACGTAAATCATAAGGATTTCAAAGCGGTAAAACGTAAAATTAAAATAAAAACAAACACTATTGATCGAGATGTAAAAACGCAAATATTGCAAAACAAACCTAAGAACGCAAACTATGAATGTAGAGACTTCAGGACGTATGAATATTCGAAAATACGCAACATAAGAACGTAAAAAATAATAAAAACGTAAACGTAAGTGAATCCTAGAAGAATATAATTTGCACAAAGACGTAAAAACGTAAACGTAGAAAAAAAATATTCAGACTTGCCATAGGTTACCTCAGTTACGACTTTGCCTCTCTCAATAACAAATAGCCGAGGTCATAGCCGAGCCACCCTGTAATTAATTTTCATCGAAAATCACACATGTTGTCCCAGAGACTTTTTCTCTATCACTAACATTTTAGTTCAGTCACTCTGTATTATTAAAATTTCAGGGAAACAGACTAATGCGAAGCCGTAAACGCGTCGCCTGCATCCTCCTCCTTCTCGCTTTCTTGTTCGCCATCTGCTGGATGCCCTACCACCTGGTGAGCCTCCTCGACGACCTCAATAACAGCTCCTACAAGAACCTCAAAATGAATCTCGTCCTCTTAGGCCACGCCAATTCCGCCCTCAACCCCATCATTTATTGCGCCCTTTCGCGCAAATTCCGAAACTCCATCAAAGATCTTATTTGCATTGATATACATTTCACCAGACGGAGGCAAAATATTCAGGTAAAACTTCTTATTTCATCTCCTGATTTTAATTCAGTTAAGTCGCGAAACCTATGCAAATCATCATGGGGGTGAATATGTTTACGGAAGAAAAATAACCAAGTTTGACTACAAATGGCGTTTATGCGAGACGATAAACTTTTATTTTCCGAAATAAATCAAAATAAACGAAGAAATTGATTGGTATCGAGATGTGTCAAGTGACGGCTTTGGCGGCGACCGCCCCGTCGGACGTGCATGACAATTGAGTATAAAATTATGACGTTTGTTTGACATTTTGCTAAGGGCTACCAACTGCTGATGTAAACTTCACTTTAATTGGAAGGTGATGCAAATTTTAATAATTGTTTACTTTAATTATTATACGCCTAATTCCCACTTATACAGGATGAGTCATAATGTTTGCTCCTTACGTGGTTAGAATCTAATTAAGAGAGGGTGAAAATTTAAAAACAGTGCTACCAACCAGAAAACAACAAACTTCTGAATTAATTATTATTATTAATTGCATATTGTACAAGCATGCAAACACTTGACTTGACTTGTGTAATACACTGTAGCGAGTAATTACGTTCCACAATAACTAGATTTACAATTAACGTTAACCTATTGTTTCGTGGAAGAAAAAAACGGAAATTACGTCTTCTTGGAATTTAATCCGCTTCCTGAATCAATTTCCACCTCGGATTAAATTTATTCTCATCTCGAACTAAGATTATGAGAAAAGAAATAAAACACAAAACTTACGTGATTTGGACGCGGACGTGGCACTTTATCAGCGTTTAGTTCGCACAAAACCAAAATCAACTTTTAAATCTCCCGCCAGCAACCGAAAAATTTCCATAGTAAATTTTTGTTTCTACCCTTATTCTTAACTTTTTTACTCAATATCTCAAAAACTATACATCGTAGAATATTTTAACTTATTGCATCGTGTTCAGCGAGTAATTTTACGTCTAGAAAACCATATTTCAACCGTTTTTACGATTTTTAGTAAATTGACTATTTTTACGATTTTACTACCGCTCACCTTCAAAAACTCAAAAAATTCAAAATTTTTGAAAC